CGAATCATACAATCAAAGTTTTGGTTAAAAAACCATTCTGCTATTCTCGGCTTTTTGCCTTCCCCTTATTCTTAGTCAAAGGACTTGACCCAGAGGCATGCTTAGCTTCTAATTCTTGTAACCTCATTGAAAGAACATTTATAGTCTTTCCTTGCTCGAAAATGACCTCGTCTAGACTATCAATCCTGCATATGCACCTCGGAGATAATGCAAAACTAGCTTAAATTCATTCGCACATTTACAATCTTGTCCTTTCAACAATCTACTCTTCTTGTTAAACGGTGAAGATGAAGAACTCTCAACAGATCCTGAATAATCCTCTCTAGAACGCTTTCCCTTATATACCCCTCGTGAAGAGCCTGCTGCATTAGTCTGATGAGACTCTCTAGCAGATCCTCGCCTCACTGATTCTCCACTTGAAGTATTAGAGGCATGGGTATGGGGCTCCGGTTCTGGAGATAAGGAATCGGGCACTCTTATTCTAATTCTTGACACGTTCTCCTGGTGGTTGGGTCCAGCAAATCGAGCTCTAATATTGAGAGACAGTGACGCTAGAGGAAGACGATTTTGGCTTCGACTAAGCCTTGCCTCTTGGGCCTCTGACTCAGCCTGTTGACGTGTCATTAGCCTGGTGGTGCGTGAACATGTAGAAGTATTGTTCCTGGTGTTTGAAGACATTATTATTTTTTTTAAAAAAAAAAAAAAAAAAAAAAGGGAAACTGGTGTAGTCTGAAGTGTTTGAGCAAAGTTTGAAAATGGCTGTGGTTTAGGAATGAGGAATGAAGGAGCGAGAATTGCTTAAAAAATTGAATTTCAACCATTACATTCCATTGACATCCTCATCCCAATCCGCATTCACCATGCATGGCATGACCATCAACCAATCACTGATCTTGATTTTGCCCATGTTACTAAGCGTCACACCCTCACAAACCAATTCAAAATGTTTATTTTGGACCAGGAGACAGAGCAATGTGGGGTAATTATGAATTCCTGCAGATCAGAGCGATCTATTGTTAATTTGCCTCCAAATTTGGAACGTGGTATACAAACCATGCCATCCTGGCGCGTTGTGTCTTAACATGGATAGAGATGATGGCACTCGTATATATATGTATAAAAAAAAAAAAAAAAATCAGAACCTTTTTCGAACACACACAATTTACATCAAGAAACAATATCTCCTACACCCTCATACCAACCATCATTTTACCACAATGGCCTCTAACTCAACCAACTCCACACCATCTTCTCCCGTCTTCGACGAGCAAACCCCACCTAGGACCTTTGTTTCTACCCTACCGGAAGAGACAATGATGCCCTTGCCCGGAACAACCCCAGTAGGGCATCCTCCCACGCTTGCGGAAGCGGAAGCCCCGTCCCAAGCGTTGTTGAGCCAGCTGAAAGAATCACTTATACAAGCTGATGCCAACCGCCAGCAGTGTTTGAATGAGAAGATGAAATTGGCCGTTAAGTACAACACGACAATTATCAACCCAGCCTTTCCTCCCGATGAAGCTGAAGCAGCTAAGCTGGAGTTTGAGCAGATGAATAAAAATTTCACTGACAAGCTAGAAACAGCAGAGGCCCATTATCAAATGATTAAAGGCCTGATCAACACTCAGGAAGCCATGAACAAATCTAGGCAACCTGCTGCTACCCTTCATGAGGATCAGTCGCTTCCAGAAACTGAAACGCAAGACTCTAACGGTCTCGATGTATTTCCTGTCATTGGGATCAAGAAAACATGTCGCATTGGCGAGAGTCTTCAATTATAAGAGGATCCCCATTATCGACAAAGCATCCATGGAAATCGATTATTCCAGGGTGCAAATCCAAGAGAAATCAGGAGCCCCTTCGCTTCGATTCCAGCTTAAAGGAATTCCCCTGAAGGATGTCCCATTCAAAGTTATCAAGACTGTCGTGGACTTTCAGAAGTCCTTCAAGACCCACTATACCAATTATCTGACTGATGATCTGTTTGACGACATGGCGTGGAGGTATATGAACCTAGCGCTAGTCCCTACAGGCCTTCATGAAGAGTACGACCGACTTATCAAGACCCCTGTGTATCAAAACCGATCTTGGCATCAAGTTAAAAGATGCATCCAAAAGATCTTGAAGTTCGATCTCATTCGTTCCCTGATCATAAGTCAAATTGGTGACCTCGCTCCTATGTCTGGTGAAGACGCTAATTCCTATGTGGACCGGATAGAGCTGCTCATTGAAGCCGGAGGTCTGCAGCTAATGGGTGTTCTTTTATATGGGAAAATCACCTCGACGCTGTCAGACGCAGGCAGAGAGAAAGTCCTATCTGAGTTTCATTCGCTGGATACCATTACGGACGTAAACCAGCTTCTTGAGTTTATCAGAATGAACCCTAGTGTCCTTTCTGGTGAAAGAAGAAATCCATGTGCGTGGTTTATAAACAAATTTGGGAACGAGCTGTCTCCCACCAAGAATGCAGAGGACAACCAACCTAAGGAGGTTCAGCAGCATCGTCGACAATCAAGAACCCATTCCAAAAGGGTAGAAAGTCGCCATCCCTATAACACAGGGAAAAGAGCCCAAAGGGCCGGCAATTCCAATCCTTGTAAGGACCCTACTTGCGTCTCCCTGAACAGAAAACATTCAGATGCAGACTGCTTTCGGCATACAAATCCAAACAAGTTTGCCGAGCTTAACAAGCAAGCTCACGGAAGAGACAAGAAGGGGCCTATTCAATATAAGAAGGTAGCCTCCCTGCGTCAAATGAAAGAAGATAGCTTTGATGACGTTCTAGGAAATGATCTTGAACTCGCAATAAACCGAATGGATATTTGCCCTTATGTTGACAGCCCTACCGGCCCTTCATCAGATACACCTAAGTATTCATCTTTGATTCACAAAACCGTGTCTATAAACCATTCCTTAAAAATAGCAGCGACAAGTGCTGTATTAAATGTTAAACAACCACAATCAAAAGCACCACATCCGTATGACAATTATGCGGATCCCAAACCGAGTAGAAATATTGGTTATAGAGGACCTGAACCGGAAGACAACAGAATATCTGTTCCCATTACTATAAATGGCCTCTTATACACGGCTTTACTTGATCCTGGTTCCAATGTATCCTTTATCAATCGAGAAGTAGCCAAAGACCTCAAAATAAGGACTACAACCTCGAAAAACACTGTAATTAGATTTGCAGATGACACTACTGGTTTTCAAAATGTCGGCACAGTAGATGCTATTATTCTCTCTTGTAATCACCGAACAGTAGAATGCAGAGTCAGTGTGATGCCTATGGGCTATTACGACTTCCTTATCGGAATGGATCTATTTTACCGCTTCGGCTTTGGGATCCATGGCATAGCTACAGCTGTTGCTGAAAAGACAGGTGATTTCTTAGATGATGAAAGTAAACCGCCACTTGTACCCTCCATTATGAAAGACCAAGAGTTAGAAACTGAGTTCATCGAACAGAAGAAACAGTTCTTATTAGCCATTGAGCCCTTCCTTTGCTCTAATAGCCAGATAGACCCCAAGAGTCACTGTCCACTAGACGTTATGAGAGTCCATCTAAAAGTCAGAGATGACTGCGTGATTCAAGAACGCTCTCGTAGGTTCTACGCGCAAGTAGAAATGGATGAAGTCAATACCACCGTACAGAAATGGCTAGACAATGGAGTTACAGTTGAGGCGCCTAAAGGTAACCCCTACAACAACTCTCTCACACTTGCAGCAAGGAAGAACTTAGAAGGCGAAATTATTAAATACAGAGTCTGTCTTGACCCAAGAACGCTGAATAAGCAGCTCGTGGATATTGATAACTTTCCTATCCCTATCATTTCCGAAATATTGGAACGAGCTGCAGGTCATAAGTATTTTACTACAATTGACTTGTCACAAGCATATCATAGATTACCTCTGGATGAGAAAAGCCAACCCTACACGGCATTTAAGCATATGAACAAACAATATATGTTTGCTCGTGCTCCTTTTGGATTGAAGCCTATGACTAGCATCTTCCAAAGAGGAATGTCTCAATTGCTTGGAGATCTTCACTTCGTTAGCGCTTATGTTGATGACATTGTCATTTTCTCCGACAGCATTGAAGAGCACACTGAACATGTCAAAATGGTGATTAAACTATTGACAAGTGCCAATCTGATTATCAATAAGGAAAAGAGCAATTTCCTCCGCATGGAAGTTTTGTTGCTCGGGTTCGTCATCGATGCAAATGGTAGAAGGATTAATCCAGAAAAAGTTGCTAATGTTCAATCATGGACTCCTCCCACCGATGGCAAAATGGTACAAAGATACCTTGGGATGTTTAACTACTTCAGAGAATACATACCCCTCTTTAGTACTTTGGCAGCACCTTTGGATAAATTGAGAAACGTCAAAGGACACTTTACACTAGGTGATCTAGAATTGCGTTGTTTTAATCAGTTCAAACAGCTCATCATATCAGCACCTGTATTGTCATTCCCTGACTTCTCTCAGCCCTTTTATGTGGCCACTGACGCGTCCAATCTAGGTATTGGTGCAGTTCTTTATCAATTACCAAATGGTCCTGAAGATGACACCAAAGTCAATTATATTTCTTTTATGGCTAGAGCTTTAAAGAACCACGAACGCAACTACCCAGCATATATGAAAGAACTTTTAGGCATTATCTATGCTTGCAAAAAGTTTCACTACTACTTATGGGGTCGCAAATTCACCCTATACACTGATCACAAACCACTCACTTATATTCATGAACAAAAGGAACTTTCACAGATCTTAGCGGACTGGAGAGAAACCCTTCTCAGCTATGATTTCCAATGCATCTACAGACCTGGATTGCTGAACATTATTCCTGATGCGCTATCGAGAGCTTTTCCTGATGAATTATGGGCCCGAGAAAATAGTCCGACCCATCCAGAGTCTTCTCAATCAGAGTCTACAAGAGTATCTGCAGTATCAATGAGACGCAGCTTACGCTCCACTGACACAACTGATCCTCTAATAGTTACGCAATCAGCAGATCTTATTCCAAGGATTGAAAGTCTTGATACTTCTTTACCTTATGTGCACCAGATTCAAGATCAAGAAGTGCAACGAGTGGCGCCTACTGATGATCAGCAAAAGCAACTTTTGAAAGATACACACAGCTTTGGACACCTTGGTATTAATGCCATGGTTTTATCATTGCAGCAGCAAGGGTATAACTGGCCCAAAATGCGTGAAACCTGCAATCAGTGGATAAGACAATGCTCTGCTTGCCAGCACTATAATATCGTGCGTAAAGGCTACCATCCACTCAAAGCAATACATGCTACTCTACCAGGCGAGCACATAGCCTTTGACCTAGCCCAATTTCCTGTCAGCGACGCAGGCAACGAATACGCTCTTCTCGCCGTAGATGTATGCACGAGGTTTGTTTTTATCGAACCAATACCTAATCGTAATGCGGTCACTGTCGCCGCTCGACTTTTCAAATTATTCTGCTCCATTGGGTTCCCTAAAATTATCCAGAGTGATAATGGGACTGAATTTGTCAACTTAGTTGTCAGATCGTTAACTACCAAGCTTGAGATTGATCATAGGCTTACTACGCCTTATCATCCTCGGGCCAATGGCTTAGCAGAACGTAATGTCCGTACCCTTAAAGATCTCTTGCAGAAATCTATTCAAGGCGAAATCACTAAATGGGATGACCAACTTCCTATGGTCCAGTTACAAATGAATACTAGAATTGTTAGCCTTCATGGCTCGGCGCCTTTTTCGCTGTTTTATGGTCGATCTTTCGCTGGAATATCTGACTTCTCAGCATCGGGATCACGATTGCTATCTGAATCAGAATTGAATGAGCGCTTAAGGTATCTTACTGACCTTGTATTCCCTGCTATTGCAGATAAGAGTACAGCCTCGCAGCAGAAGATGGTGGATAAATTCAACTCAAATCATTTTATAACTGACTTCCCTATTGCCGCCTATGTGATGATCAAGGACCCCTTGGCTAATAGTACATTTGATAATAAGTACATTGGGCCGTTTCAAGTAGTTCGCCGCACTGTTCGTGGTACATATGTTCTCCGTGACGCGATGAGACAACTACTACCTCGTAATTTTGCTCCTGAACAGCTTAAGCTAGTGGATCGACCACTTGATGCTTCGGATGACGCCGATGATCATTATGAAGTCGAAGCTATCTTGAGTCATGAAACTTCTGAGGGGGGAGAGACACTGTACACAGTTAAATGGAAAGGATATGACGATGAGCACAACTCGCAACTTAGGTACGAAGATTTTGACTCCAAAGCAATGATCAATAAGTACTATAAAAAGCTTAATCAGCAGAACCCTCATATGATTGCCAAAATGGCTAAGAGGAAGCAACCTGCAACAGTTGTAGGGTCAAGGGCTCAGAAAAGACATAAGAACAGAAGGTAGAAGCAAAAAAACGAATGTTGCTTCACTAAGGTTTTTGTACGCATGCGTTAACAGCATGAACGTTTTCCTCACTATCAAATCAAATTTAAGGTTTATTATTTTACCCTTTTTTTATGGTCGCATCTAAAAAGAAATGCAGACGCTGAAGGTTTTATTTATTTTCCTTCAAAGAATTTATTTATTTATTTAATCAAACAAGAAGGTTTTTAGACTTTTCCTTCGACACTAATTATCCTAATAGGAAGGTTTTATAAATTTTCCTTCCAAGCTTTATAAGCACTCGCTCTTACCTGGACGCTCGTCTGGAGGGGGAGTTATGTTGCGATTAGCAGTCATTTACATGGGTTTTTACTATAGCTAAGATTTTTACCCTTTTTATTTAACGAAGATCCCTGGATCATAATAAACACATCTTTCTTTCGTTCTCGTTACTTATTATGATCCTGGCATATTTCACTCCTCTTACGTCCACTTCCTCCTCACTTCCACTACTCTCCTCAGCGCCGGTCAGTGAATAATCAAGGGTGACAAGGTTTTCACCCTTCTCCTGAACAGGTTGATTTTTGCCCTTATCCTGAACAGCGGAAGAAGTGGAAAGGGTTTTAGGGGAAACAACTTTGGAAGACATGGTAAAAAAAAAAAAAAAAAAAAAAAAAGGAATAAGTGCAAGGAACTTATGGAAAAGTGTATGTGAAGTTTTGGAAGTGCTAGAGTGAGGAATGGAGGAATGAAAAATGACAATCAATTTATAATCACAATCATCCATCCATCATCCATTCTCCATTCTCATTCGCCATTGAGATTTCTCTGCCTGAAAAGACGATGGCGTGATCCTCAGATCTAGTGATTGAGATTTTGACATGCGCAAAAAAAAAAAAAAAAAAAAATTTGTCACATTTATTCCGCGCTATCTCCATTCATATACTCCTCACATACAAAGATTGCTTGCCTTTTGGCAGTATGGTTATCAATCCAGAAAAAGTTTCTATCCATTCCATTTGCAAACGAGATCCATTCTTCACAGAGAGTTATTTTGATTTTATCAATTCATACAAAATGGAGCACAAAGAGCATTTTTTTCTAAAGATCCTCAGCCCCTTCCAACAATCCTCAGCTCCTCAGCCCTTGCCTTCCCTTTGTCTTGAGTCGAAGGGCTAGACCTAAAGGTATGCACCTTGGAGACAATGCAAGACTAGTATAAATTCTTCCACATGCAAAGCTTATTCGATATTGTACATGTTTCGCCACCATTTTCTCATGGTCATCAATTCAGGGACATTTCTTTCCTTTCCATTGATAAATAAGCTTCAGTCTGAACTATTGAATCACAGAAACGAGTTATTTTAGTTTTATTCAACCAATTTATTTTGATTTTATTCAATTCATACAAACTAAGTTTCGTGAGAAAGCACCATTCATTCATCCTCAGCCTTTGCCTTCCCCTTGTTTTGAGGCGAAGAACCTGACCCAGAGGCGTGCAGAGCTTCTAAATTCTGTATTCTCACTAAAAGAGCATTGATTGTCTTTTCCTGCTCGACAATGGTCTTGTCCAGACCATCAATCCATTTGTATGCACATCGAAGATGATGAAATACAAGCATAAACTCATCCGGACATATGCAATCCACCACACTCTGCTTGAGCTCTATCGTACGATCTTGCCCTTTCAAAAATCTACTCCTCTTATTAAAAGGAGCGGACGAAGAGTTCTCAACAGATCCGGAGTCATCCTCTCTGGGACGCTTTCCCTTTTGTACCCCTCTTGAAGAGCATACTCCACTTGTCTGACAAGACTCCCCAGCAGACGCTCTCCTTACTAATTCTCCATATGATGTACTAAAAGCACTTGCACTTGGCTCTGGCTCTGGAGATAAGGAATCAGGTACCCTTATTCTTATGCTGGATGCATCTTCATGGTAGATGGGTCCAGTGGATCGGGTCCTGATATTAGGAGACAATGGTGCTAAGGGAAGACGGTTATATCTTCGAGTAGGCCTTGCCTCTCGAGCCTCTGACTCAGTCTGTTGACGTGTCACTGGCCTGGTGGTGCGGGAAGAAGAAGAAGCATTGTTACGGGTGTTTGAGGACATTGTTATTTTCTTTAACTTATAAAAAGAAACGGGTACAGTTGGAAGTATATGGGCAAAAGTATAACAATGGTCGTGGTTTAGGAATGAGGAATGAAGGAGCGAGAACTACTTCAAAATTGATTTTTCAAAATGGACACTCCCCATTGACATCCTCATCCAATCCGCATTCATCATGCATGGCATGACCATCAGCCAATCATTGATCACCATCTGCCCCTGTCATTAAGCGACACAATCCTTACAACCTTAAATTGGGCTTTAATTTATCTGTGGGACCTTTATACTAGAGACCATGGGTCATTGCTGTCATTGGCTCCCTATCGGTTCCAATATGGTGTGAACTTATAGAGCGCCCTTCTCACTGAAGTAGCCTGTCCCTTAAATCTCCACTATGGTTATTAAATACCCTGTTACTTTAATATAACTCTATTTCCTCATTTGGATTTCAAGTCCGGATTTGGAAACAGAAGAGCATGTGCCGACGTTGTGAACCTCAACGGGCTCTCCTTTAAATTGGAACATGCATTTATTTTTTATAAAAAAGATCACTTTTCTTTTCGAAAAAAAAAAAAAAAAAATATTCTGGCAAGAAAAAAAAATTTTCACTTTCAGATCAACACATTCTTTTCACTCAACCGATTCTCATTTGAACAACTTTTTCATCAACCCAATACAATCATTTTATCACAATATTGTATGAACGAGAAGATGCATCTGACCGTTTGTTACAATGCGGCAATTCTCAACCCACCGAAGAAGCTGGAGCAGCCAGATTGAAGTTTGAGCAGAGGAGCACAGCCCTTGCGGACAAACTCAACATGGCTGAGGCCCATTATCAAATGATCAAAGGCCTGATTAACCATCCCAAGAAGACTGAGGCACGCCATCCCTATAACACAGGGAAAAGAGCCCATAAGGCCGGCAGTCAATCCAGTCCCTGTAAGGATCCCACATGTATCTCACTGAATAGAAAACATGCAGATGCAGATTGTTTCAGGCATTCCAACCCTACTAAGTTTGCTGAGTTTAACAGACAAGCACAAAGGGAGGATAAAAACAAGGGACCAATCTTTTATAAAAAAGTAGCTGCCCTACATCAAACTAAAGCAGATAGCTATGATGATATTCTAGGAAACGATCTCGAGTTTGCAATAAAGCACATGGACCTTTCCCCTCATGTTGACAGCCCTACCGGCTCTTCATTAGATGCACCTAAGTATTCATCTTTGATTCACAAAACTGTGTCTATAAACCATTCCTTAAAAATAGCAGCGACAGGTGCTGTATTAAATGCTAAACAACCACAATCAAAAGCACCACATCCGTATGACAACTATGCGGATCCCAAACCGAATAGAAATATTGGTTATAGAGGACCTGAACCGGAAGACAACAGAATATCTGTTCCCATTACTATAAATGGCCTATTGTACACGGCTTTACTTGATCCTGGCTCCAACGTATCCTTCATCAATCGAGAAGTAGTTAAAGACCTCAAAATAAGAACTGCAACCTCGAAAAATACTGTAATTAAATTTGCAGACGACACTACTGGTTTTCAAAATGTCGGCACAGTAGATGCTATTGCTCTCTCTTGTAATCACCGAACAGTAGAATGCAGAGTCAGTGTGATGCCTATGGGCTATTACGACTTCCTCATCGGGATGGATCTATTTTATCGCTTCGGCTTTGGGATCCATGGCATAGCTACCGCTGTTGCTGAAAAGGCAGATGATTTCTTAGATGATGAAAGTAAACCGCCACTTGTGCCCTCCACTATGAAAGACCAAGAGTTAGAAACTGAATTCGTCGAACAGAAGAAGCAGTTCTTATTAGCCATTGAGCCCTTCCTTTGCTCTAATAGCTAGATTGACCCTAAGAGTCACTGTCCACTAGACATCATGAGAGTCCATCTAAAATTCAGAGATGACTGCGTGATTCAAGAACGCTCTCGTAGGTTCTACGCGCAAGTAGAAATGGATGAAGTCAATACCACCGTACAGAAATGGTTAGACAATGGAGTTATAGTTGAGGCGCCTAAGGGCAATCCCTACAATAACTCTCTCACGCTAGCAGCAAGGAAGAACTTAGAAGGCGAAATTATTAAATACAGAGTCTGTCTTGACCCAAGAACGCTGAATAAGCAGCTCGTGGATATTGATAACTTTCCTATCCCTATCATTTCCGAAATATTGGAACGAGCTGCAGGTCATAAGTATTTTACTACAATTGACTTGTCACAAGCATATCATAGATTACCTCTGGATGAGAAAAGCCAACCCTACACGGCATTTAAGCATATGAACAAACAATATATGTTTGCTCGTGCTCCTTTTGGGTTGAAGCCTATGACCAGTATATTCCAAAGAGGAATGTCTCAATTGCTTGGAGATCTTCACTTCGTTAGCGCTTATGTTGATGACATTGTCATTTTCTCCGACAGCATTGAAGAGCATACTGAACATGTCAAATTGGTGATTACACTGTTGACTGGTGCCAATTTGATTATCAATAGGGAAAAAAGCAATTTCCTCCGCATGGAAGTTTTGTTGCTAGGGTTCGTCATCGATGCAAATGGTAGAAGGAATAATCCAGAAAAAGTTGCTAATGTTCAATCATGGGCTCCTCCCACCGATGACAAAATGGTACAAAGGTACCTTGGGATGTTTAACTACTTCAGAGAATACATACCCCTCTTTAGTACTTTGGCAGCACCTTTGGATAAATTGTGAAACGTCAAAGGACGCTTTACACTTGGTGATTTAGAAATGCGTTGTTTTAATCAGTTGAAACAGCTCATCATATCAGCACCTGTATTGTCATTCCCTGACTTCTCTCAGCCCTTTTATGTGGCCACTGACGCGTCCAATCTAGGCATTGACGCAGTTCTTTATCAATTACCAAATGGTCCTGAAGATAACACCAAAGTCAACTATATTTCTTTTATGGCTAGAGCTTTAAAGAACCACGAACGCAACTACCCAGCATATAAGAAAGAACTTTTAGGCATTATCTATGCTTGCAAAAAGTTTCACTATTACTTTTGGGGTCGTAAATTCACCCTATACACTGATCACAAACCACTCACTGATATCCATGAACAAAAGGAACTTTCTTAGATCCTAGCGGACTGGAGAGAAACCCTTCTCAGCCATGGTTTCCAATGCATTTACAGACCTGGATTGCTGAACATTATTCCTGATGCGCTATCGAGAGCTTTTCCTGACGAATTATGGGCCCGAGGAAATAGTCCGACCCATCCAGAGTCTTCTCAATCAGAGTCTACAAGAGTATCTGCAGTATCAATGAGACGCAGCTTACGCTCCACTGACACAACTGATCCTCTAATAGTTACGCAATCAGCAGATCTTATTCCAAGGATTGAAAGTCTTGATACTTCTTTACCTTATGTGCACCAGATTCAAGATCAAGAAGTGCAACGAGTGGCGCCTACTGATGATCAGCAAAAGCAACTTTTGAAAGATACACACAGCTTTGGACACCTTGGTATTAATGCCATGGTTTTATCATTGCAGCAGCAAGGGTATAACTGGCCCAAAATGCGTGAAACCTGCAATCAGTGGATAAGACAATGCTCTGCTTGCCAGCACTATAATATCGTGCGTAAAGGCTACCATCCACTCAAAGCAATACATGCTACTCTACCAGGCGAGCACATAGCCTTTGACCTAGCCCAATTTCCTGTCAGCGACGCAGGCAACGAATACGCTCTTCTCGCCGTAGATGTATGCACGAGGTTTGTTTTTATCGAACCAATACCTAATCGTAATGCGGTCACTGTCGCCGCTCAATTTTTCAAATTATTCTGCTCCATTGGCTTCCCTAAAATTATCCAGGGTGATTATGGGACTGAATTTGTCAACTTAGTTGTCAGATCGTTAACTACCAAGCTTGAGATTGATCATAGGCTTACTACGCCTTATCATCCTCGGGCAAATGGCTTAGCAGAACGTAATGTCCGTTCCCTTAAAGATCTCTTGCAGAAATCTATTCAAGGCGAAATCACTAAATGGGATGACCAACTTCCTATGGTCCTGTTACAAATGAATACTAGAATTGTTAGCCTTCATGGCTCGGCGCCTTTTTCGCTGTTTTATGGTCGATCTTTCGCTGGCATATCTGACTTCTCGTCATCGGAATCACGATTGCTATTTGAATCAGAACTGAATGAGCGCTTGAAGTATCTTACTGACCTTGCATTCCCTGCTATTGCAGCTAAGAGTACAGCCTCGCAGCAGAAGATGGTAGACAAATTCAACTCAAATCATTTTATAACTGACTTCCCGATTGCCGCCTATGTAATGATCGAAGACCCCTTGGCCAATAGTGCATTTGATAATAAATACATTGGACCGTTTCAGGTTGTTCGCCGCACTGTTCATGGTACCTATGTTCTCCGTGACGCGATGAGACAACTGTTACCTCGTAATTTTGCTCCTGAACAACTTAAGCTAGTGGATCGACCACTTGTTGCTTCAGATGACGCCGATGACCATTATGAAGTCGAAGCGATTCTTAGTCATGAAACTTCTGAGGGGGAGAGACACTGTACACAGTTAAGTGGAAAGGATATGACGATGAGCACAACTCGCAACTTAGGTACGAAGATTTTGACTCCAAAGCAATGATCAATAAGTACTATAAAAAGCTTAATCAGAAAAACCCTCATATGATTGCCAAAATGGCTAAGAGGAAGCAACCTGCAACAGTTGTAGAGTCAAGGGCTCAGAAAAGACTTAAGAACAGAAGGTAGAAGCAAAAAACGAATGTAGCTTCACTAAGGTTTTTGTACGCATGCATTAACAGCATGAACGTTTTCCTCACTATCAAAGGTTTTATTATTTTTACCCTTTTTATTTAGAAGGTTTTTATACTTTTCCTTCTATACTAACTATCCTAATAGGAAGGTTTTTATATATTTTCCTTGAAAGCTTTATAAGCAATCGCTCTTACCTGGACGCTCGTCTGGAGGGGGAGTTATGTTGCGATTAGCAGTCATTTATATGGGTTTTTACTAGAGCTAAGATTTTTACCCCTTTTTATTTAACGAAGATCCCTGGATCATAATAAAGACATCTTTCTTTCGTTCTCGTTACTTATTATGATCCTGGCATATTTCACCCCTCGACCATGGCAATCCTCGCGGAACTTGCGAGCAATGGTGAGAGCCCCTCGGCCCTGGCGGCAGTTGCGAAACTGGATCCCTCTACCCCGGTAGTAGACCACCCACCTGAAGCGAACGAGGACATGGACTTGTAGAGACAAGAGACAATAAAAAGTCAAGAGAAAAAAATTAAATTAAAACCTTAATTTTTTAAGTTTGCCTTTTTGTCATTGTCTCATATCAAATCTATTTTATCCTCAATGCTGCAAATATCCTTGGCCACATTTAACTGTGATCGCAT